TGACTTCTGGAGGAAGTCTCGTACGAAACGCTCGTCGCGTGACTTTTGGAGGAAGTCTCGCACGAAACGCTCGTTTTGGAGGAGTGAAACACTCGTTTTGCAGGCTCGATGTGTGAGTTTTTGAGGGGGGTGACGCGCGAAACTCATGTTCAGGAGACATGACGGTTGACTTTTGGGGACTTTAGTAGCAGTGACCCGCAAGGGTGTCCCACAAGAGTGTCCTACAGGAGTGTCCCACGAGAGTGTTCCACAAAAGTGACAAACAAGAGTGTCCCACAAGAGCGTTCTGCAAGGGTGCCCCGCCAGAATGTTTTGCAAGAGTATCCTACAAATGTGCCCCCCATACAAGAGTGCCCCACCAGAGTGTCCTACAAGAGTGCCCCGCACGAGTGTCCCGCAACGGTGTCCTACAAGACGTTCCCACAAGAGTGTCGTGCAAGAGTGTCCCACAAGAGTGTCATATAAGAGTGTCCCACAAGAGAGTCCTACAAGACAGTTCCGCAAGAGTGCCCGACAAGAGTTTCCTATGAGAGTGCCCCACAAGAGTGACACTCAAAAGTGTCCGACAAGAGTGTCCTACCAGACTGTTTCACAGGAGTGTCCTACAAGAGTGTCGCGCAAGAGTGACAAACAGCAGTTTCCCACAAGAGAGTCCCGCAAGGGTGTCCCACAAGAATGTCCGACAGGAGTGTCCTACAAAAGTTCCCCACACGAGTGTCCTACAAGAGTGTCCCACAAGAGTGCCCCCAAAGAGTTCCCTACAAGAGTGTCCCATAAGAGTGCCCCACAAGACTTTCCCACTAGAGTGTCGTACAAGAGCTTTCCGTAAGGGACTCCCACTAGAGTGTCACAAGAGTGCCCTACACGAGTGTCCTACAAGAGTGACATTTTCTAGTATCCCACAAGAATGTCCGACAAGAGTGTCCTACAAGAGTGCCCCACTATAGTGTGCTACAAGGGTGTCCCACAAGAGTGTTCGCAAGAGTGTCCCACAAGAGTGTCACATAAGAGTGTTCCACAAGAGAGTCCTACAAGACAGTTCTGCAAGAGTGCCCCAGAAGAGTGTCCGAAAAGGGATTTGGTCAGGTGTTTATGTTCAGCAGGCACATGTCGCAAATGCTTATGTGCACAGAAGTCGCTTAAGAATCTTGTGCGCGAAGATCGATTATTGCACCCCCCTCTGTTAATGGATAAAGTTCGGCACGTGTAACCATTCAAACGGTTCAAATGTGTTTGCATTCGAGTTCGCGGGTTCCATCTTGTTTGTTTACAGCGCCTTGACAAAGCCAACGAATATCAGCCTAGCAGAGAATAGATTTCTTGTGTTAGTCAGTCAATTCTATTTAACCCCGCGATTCCTTTTTTTGCACTTTGTAGATTTGGAAGCTCCGAACTCCACGGCTCAAAGCAAAATGAATGAGAAAGGTTTGTTCGATATGTGGAGCAGTGATTCTTGGAGGGGGTTGCCTGGCCTGTTCCCAAGAAGAAAGCCGAAACTAGCCTTGGCGCAGCAATTGTGCCGGAGCCCTGAGGTCAAGTCCACCCCAACCATCAGCAGTGCGTCCGCGCTTCAGGGCCCAGTCCGTCCAATCCAGCGAGACACACATCACGCCCGCACGCGCTGTTCAGTCATGTCACTGGGCTGGGGTTGCGTTTTGATTGAACACATTGTGTTTGCTCCGTAGTTCTCACGCCAAGAGTACTTTCTAGATTTCCTCGAAAACAGCAAGTCCTCCCTGAAAAGAACATGGCCCGTGAGTGGCGCGTGAACAGCTCGCAGTAGCAAGGCGTTCTACTCCTGCGCCATTTGGCGCAATGAGCATGAACTTGTTCTTATTTCTGACAAATGTATACAAACGAGGCCATCCTTTCCTGTCCGCCCTGCGCCCAAAAACCCAACAACTATATATATATTCAAGACATCAAAATACATAGCAAAACTGGTGCCTCCACAGTGTACCGTTCTCGCGGGAAAAAGAAGAAAAAATGGTTTACGAGTCAGACGTCAAACCCCACCAACTCATGCCCTGCCCAGGAGTGCTGGCTGCAAGCACCACTGCGGCTTGTTCGCGGTCTGGCGCTGCCCCTGCCAAAGCCCAGCAGACGTCCAGGCAGGGAGGCCCCAGCAGGTGCGCAATTGTACATTGCCGCATTTTGCACCAAGCTCGTTCCTTCCTTCCTTCCTTCCTTCCTTCCTTCCTTCCTTCCTGCCTTGCTTGCTGGCTGGCTGGCTGTCTTGCTTGCCTGCTTGCTTGCTTCCCTCTTTGCTTTCTTGCTTCTGTGCTTCCTTGCTTGCTTTTTTTTCGTTTCTTCCTTATTTCCTCGCGGCCCCCCTGTCAAGTCGTGAGATTGGTTTCAACGCGCACCATAATCACGCATAGTGGATCACCAACTGTTGGCCCACTAACTACAGACTAGGTGGCGCGTGACCATTTTCGTGTTGACCTCTTCAGGGTAAGCCTTGTGTGTGAAACCAGTCATCTTCTCTGTAAGAAGCGCCGTCTATATATTCGAAGGGAAGTTTAGTGTACGAAACTTCCGTGTTACAGACGTTCAAGAACTGTTCATCCACTCATCAATACACCACTCATCATACACCGCTCATCATACACCACTCATCAATACACCACTCATCATGATATACGCCACTCATCAATATACACCGCTCATCAATACACCACTCATCATACACCACTCATCATACACCACTCATCATACACCACTCAACATACACCACTCATCGTCCAGTTTGCTCTAGTTGCAAGAGCTCTAGCTCCAGGTACCTCTGTTTTCAATAGCTCTAGCTCCAGGTAGCTCTAGTTTTAAGAGCTCTAGCTCCAGATTACGTGGCAGGTGCAGCGCTTTGTGAACCTCCATGCGCAGAGTTCGTTGCAGGCACAGCGCTTTGTGAACCTCGATGTGCAGATTGCGTGGCAGGCGCAGTACTTTGTGAACCT